ACTGTTAGTTCTCTTTTTCTCGGATTGCTTGAAAGTCAACTAGCGTCAGGTTTGGCCACAGGTGGATCCAGGACGGTTCCCCTGGGAACAATCAAACTGTCCACAATTCGTTCATTCGTTTCGATGGTAAATTGGTACTAACTGGAAGAAAATCCATCATTCCCCTGTTTTTTCTCTTGGTGTAGCGGGGCCTTTGCCTTTTGGGGCTACCATAAAGTATGAAAAAAAAAGGGGAGGGGGTGGAAATTTTAAAAACAGTGAGGCGGGAAAAGCCAAAGAGAGTCGTCATTCAGGCTTCAGGCGGATTGATTTACTTCACTTTAACTCTAAAAACATGATTTATTTTGGCTTCTAAGTCAAAAAAGCATTCTTCTCAATCCCTCAAAATCAAGCTGCGTTTTCTCTGTGTGTGTTCTAATGAATCAGCTAGCTGCTCCACAAATCGATCCGAGCAAAGTACACCCTCCCTCCTCAGAGCACTGAAATTTATGCTGTTCCGGATCGCAGCAGCTGAAGAGGGATGAGGTAGATGGAGGTGTGTTAGAGAAAAATGTGCCCCTTTCTCACTTACATTCACTCTGTAGTTCTCGGACATTAGAACATCCCCACCATCTTTATCCCACATTTTTATAGGCGGATTTCGGGGGAGCGGATCTTCGCCCCCTCCCCCCCTCCTTTCATGCCAGTGGCACAATCACCAATGCTGCAAAAGCCCGGGTGTAAAGCTAAAACTCCCTCATTCCTCTCGGTTTCAGCTAATGCTCCCCCAAAATTCAGTTCGAGTTAAAATTACTGACCTAAAATCTAATCCGAATTATGCAATCTTAGCTATTTTACGTGTAATATCACTCAACTTGTTGTTAGTACTCAAAAGCGGACCCCTCGAAATTACCCGTGCTCCAGCCTTAATCCCTTAAATCCCCCTCCCCCTCTTCTCAACTCTTTCCCCCCGTTCCCTCATTGCCCCACCCTCTCCCTCCTCCTCCCCCCCATCCTCCTGGATGCTAAACTGCAAAGCCGAAATCCGGGGAACAAAATTCACGTTGTAAAACTCATAAAACTTATTTTTCAGGAAGCAACTATAAATGTTACTTAAAATGGCACAAAACTTTTTTTGAACAAACCTGCGGATATATCGCCGATAGCCCGGATGAAGGTGTTGTAGCACGGATTCCGGAATATGCCTTCGGATTATGGGTTTTCTTTTTTTTCTTCGTCGAGGCAGTGCCATGGCTGTAGTGGTAATCTTCGTTGCTGTGATAACTTTGGTGGATGCACGAGGCGGTCGACGAGCCGGTAAAGGAAAAGGCAAGAGCAATCTGCAATTTGCACAAGTTGCTGAATTTTCATTGGTACATACACAACTTGCCGATAATAACGTAAGTTTCGCGCTTTTCATACATTTTTCAATTAAATAAACATGGAACATTAAGACAGTCACAAACAATCGATATAGGTATCCCATGTTAATAATAACAGAGATACTGATGGAATAAAGGAGAGTACTTGGAAAAAATATATACTAAAAAAATTAGATGAACAAGAATGTTTCGGTCCACTAAGTCTTATTACATTCCCAGTCAGCAGCACAACCGCAATTCGTCAGTATGAGGTGTCATGAACGAAGCCCTTTCTCCAAAAATTGTTCTGAACCGAGAGGGAATCGAACCACTCCTCTTCACGTCCGGACGCAACGTGTTACCACTACACCACCAGTTCTTGTGCTTTGGCTCAGCCTGGTAGCACATCTACTGTGTATCTGTCCCTCAAGACGGGACAGCCCTTTCTCCTTTTTCTTTGTGGCGGGTTCTTGGTAGGCTTTTTGCGGGTTTTCCGCGACATGAGGGTTGGGGTTTTCTTGTGAGTTCAGCTGTCTCTAATATCTTTGGCATTTGTTGAATACCCCCACCTCATCCCAGATAAATCACTCCTACGCCATGAAAAGTAGCTTGATCACTCAAATGAATTTAGATTTATAGTCAAATATCAAAACCCCCTCTGTATTCACTCGCTATGAGAGGCGAAGGCACCCGGAAGTATTCCA